AAGGACAGGGTTTCTCTGTGTAGCCCTGGCTGTCCTGGAACTCACTCTGTACACCAGGCTGTCCTGGAACTCAGAAATCCGCCTGCCTCTGCCTCCTGCCTCCCAAGTGCTGGGATTAAAGGCATGTGCCACCACTGCCCGGCTATAACCACTTTTAATTGAGCTCAATGATGTTACTTTTTAGAAGTATAAGGAAAAATCCTGGAAGCAGTAGAATATTTAGCTTTGTAAGGGACATAGCTCAGTAGCAAAACACTTACCACACCCAAGGTCTAGTAAGATCCCCAGCAACACAACACACTTAGGGCTAGGGACACAGCTCAGTGTTTGCCTACATGAACAAAGCTATGGGTTCTGTCCCCAGGACTGCATAAAACCAGCTGTAGAGGCATATGCTGTGTTCTCGAGCACTTGGGAGGCAGAAGCAGGAGGATCAGAAGTCCAAGATCAGCCTTTACTAGATTTCTCTAGGCTAACCTGTCTATTTTTGTTTGTTTTTGAGCAGGGTCTCACTATATAGCCCTGGTTGTCACCAGGCTGTCCTTGAATTTAAATAGATCCACCTGGTTCTGCTTCCCAAGTGCAGGGATGAGACCCTGTCCCCCTGCAACACTGCCCCCTTTTAAAACAGGGCTGAGGAAATGGCTCTAGAGAAAGGCTGTTCTGACTTCATGTCCACGCCTTGGCACACGTGTACTCTCTAGTCTCTGTCCTCTTAAGGGTGAAAAAAAATTGACTTGCCTCTCCCTGAGAAACTTTAGCCCCAACTGGCCTGGAACTACAGGCCTTGAAGTACCACCTAGCTGACAAGCCTATTTTATCCTATTTATAATTCTCTGAGACAGGGGCTCAAGTGTCCTGGTTTCAACCTCACTGTGTCAAGATTCTCATTCCTCTACTTTCTAAGTGATGGGATTCCAGTACGAGACAGTGCTACATTTATACAGTGCTGTGGCTCAAACTGCGAGCTAGGCACACTCTACTACCTTCTTTTAAATCCCAGCCTTTCCCCTTTACTCTGCTCTTTTTTCCCCATTGCATTTATTTTTGCAACATGTAACAGACTGACTGTCCAATAACAGAGGAAGTGTAAAGAGCTCCGAGGAGAGGAATGGGTATTTTTTTCTTATATAGTCCCTGTTGCCTAGAATATCAAGTTCATGCCTAATATTCTTAGACCTTCTGTTTAAGTCAGCAGTTGGACAACTATTGTCCACGGATCAAGTCCAATCCACTGTTTCTATGGAACACAGGGGCCAGCAGGATGACTTGGTGGGTAAAGACCCTTGTCAAGTCTTACAACCTGAGTTCAATCCTCAAAACACATATGATGGAGAGGAGCAACTCACAAGGCGTTTCTACTTGTGCATGCACAGGTACACACACACACACATACACACACACACACACACACACACACACACACACACACACACACACA